TGAATTCGACCAGCCACACTGCGTAAACGATCATACCTCATTCGGACAAGATCTGTATTTTGTCGGGTGGGAAATGTATCAAATTCCTCGTCAAGCTCGTCAGGGTGTACTGAGTCAGCATAGGATAATCTCGTGTTCATGTGTGGAGGATACCTTGGACGGAATCGGTAATTCCAGAGTCCGATTAAAAACATGTATACAAAAACTGTTGGCAAAATCAGTTCAGGGACACATACTAACATAATAAAGAGAACGTGCACCAGCACTGATGTAATGGGATTTCTCCACATACAAACTTCTTTAAACCATTTCCCAAAAGATAATAATCCGCTAAAAACTGACATTAGTCTGAAGAAGTTCGCCTAGCTGCGCCTCATGCTCCAGATATGTGAATCCGCTAACTGACATTAGTCTGAAGAAGTTCGCCTTGCTGCGCCTCATGCTCCAGATATGTGAATCCGCATCAGTCATGTATTCAACAATTTCTTTTCTGAGAGGGGGTTCTGATCGACTGAGTCGTGCTGCCACTACACTAACAGCTTGGTGACGTAATATGTCGAGCTGCATCATAGTCAATGGTCGGACATAATGCATCTTAGGCAAAAGCGGTCTTGAGTATAAACACATCATGTTCACCATTGATGTGCATGAAAACCGTATTGCCAAATGCAACTCTCCCATCTTCTTTACACCGGAAGGGTGAAGAACTAGTAACGGGTAAGAATGAGTATAAACACGGCCTGTTTCAAGAGTCGAGATTCGGATCCGAACTTTCCCAATTTTCACGTCTCTGTTACCTTGTGAAACGTTTTCGCCAATGTGCCCATTATCAAAAACACCTATGGTAAGAACAGTAGCTGGATCAAACACCTCCCAAGCGTACTGCTCATTGTACTTTGGATTTAAGCAGTCAATAATTGTTCGAGTTCGAATCCATTTCTGGCTATATTTTGCGACGCAAAAAGTATCCGATGTTCCCCTACCATTTCTCGTTTTCATTGGGTGAACAGAATTGGCACTTAAAATGCCTAGCTCCAAGATACCTATTGGTGGCTTCCAAAGCTGTTTTGCTGTCGGTCGAAGATCACTACTATAGTGAGTAGATTCATCAAGCACGTGGTACCCCCCGTCAAGGCTTACACGAAGATGGACCCTACTAGCAAATTTATCTTTCTTCGATTCCTCAACCTCAGTTGAACTTGCTTTTTGGAGATTAAACCATCTCGAGTGGACCATTCGATTGTCAGCACGTCTTTCAACTGTGGCCAGTGGTATAACAACTCTACCAAGAATCTCATCTTTGCTTGGACCCACACGATCTTCAACTAAAAGTATTAGAAAATCATCGAATGGTTCAGCAGCAACAAACATCAGATCCTCATTCCATTGTGCATTCATAGTTTGTGTCTGAACAGGTTTTGTCTTCAAAACTTGGTTACCAATCTGTGCCTTAACATGTACATTCGGCAAGCGATTTTTCTCAGCCACAACTAAATCTTGCGCTTCAATAATATTAACACGTACATACCACAATCTTGGGGACTGGTAGACTTTAGAGCGGATGTATGTTGAAGTTCCCGAGCTATCAACAGGGCTAGCTGCATCTGAATGCCAAGCATCTGGAAACGCCTCATCTGCCTGTGTACCAATCCAGACAGCAACCATAAGTTCCCCTCTCTTTTTCTCTCCTTTCTTATCTTCTAGACGATACCATTCTGGAGCCAAAGGACTATCTGGTGGAACTCGCATGGGAATCTCTTGAAGATCAAACCTAATTGTACCTACAAAATCATCTTTAACCATATTCTTGTCTTTAACCACAACTTC